TCAGAGTCCAGAGAACCACCTTAAGTCCTGAAGAATGGAAGGGGCACCATAAGCTACAGCTAGTTGAAGATCTTTAGGATTTTCAAAGATGGAGTGTGAAGCCTCACCCAGTTCAGAGCTACTAGCTTGATGTGGATGCCAAGTAAAATTCTAAAATACCAACTGAATTCTACATTATCTATTGAAATCTCCCAATTTCAAGAATAGCTACTTAAGTCGGTGCCAGTGGCTCATAAGTGTAATCTTAGCTATTCAGGAGGCTGAGATCTGAAGATCCCTGTTTAAACCCAGCCTGGGCAGGAAAGTCTGTGAGACTCTTATCTTCAATAAACTACCAAAAAGCTAGAAGTGGAACTGTAGCTCAAGTGGTAGAATGCTAGTCTAGAGCAAGAGTTCAGGGATAGCACCTAGGATTCCTGGGGGGGGGGGGGGGGGGGGGGAGGGAAAGGAGGAAGAGAGAGAGAATAGCTACTGAAAATTAAGTATCTACTGGCACTTTTGCTCCTTTGAACAGAAGCATTCAGTCCTTTGAAGAAATGCATTTAAATTGATCTCATTCATTCTCCCCTCCTTTCCCAGCAGTTACCTCTGAATTTGAACTGGTGAGTGGTTGTTCAAAATATCGACTCTACTTCCTAGCAAGCTGGATTTGGTCTTCTAAATTCTGGCCATGAGGCTGTAGACAGAAGAGGAGAGCATTCTGGGGAGCATCCTCTAAGGGAGAGGATATTCTCTTCTCCTATTGCTCCAACTGCTGGTGGAATACAGCCCATGGAGACAGAAGGCCAGCAGGCCCAGTGAAGCAACAACAGCACATAGGCCATGGGCAAGGCAACATGGTCTCTCCCTTCCAGACCAGATGGGGTACAACCCTGGACTCAGGAAAATAATTCACAGACTACAATATATACAGAAAAATAATCAGGAGAAAATAAGATGGTTAAAATATATTGAGCACTATGCCTCAGCACGCTGTAAGTGAGCAACATTGGTTTGAACTGTGTGGGTCCTCTTATATGTGAATTTTTTTTGAGCTATATAACAATTTGAAAAGAAATTTGCAGATGAACTTTATTGGCTAGAAACATGGAAAAATAAGAAAAGGTGTCATGGATGTACAATATATGTAAAATCTTATCATTCATTACCATAAAAGATATACAAATCTACTATAAAAAGTTAAAATTGCCAGGTGCTAGTTTGTCAAACCCATAATCCTAGCTACCCCAGAGGCTGAGATATCTGAAGGACTGTCATTCAAAGTCAGAGTAGGGAGAAAAGACCTCCAAGACTCCATCTCCAAATGACCAGCAAAATACCAGTTGGGAGATGAAGCTCAAGTAAGTAGAGTGCCAACTGTGAACAAGAAAACTGAGTAAAAGTGTGAGGCCTAGAGCTCAAGCTCTGGTTGTGGCACCAAGGGAAAAATAAAGTTAAAAACTGGTTGGGAAGTGAAGAGCTGAGGGACAGCGTCCAGGCCCAGAGTTCAGGCCCCATGACCGATTAAAAAAAAAAAAATTGGCTGGGAAGGTGGCTCAGTGGTAGAGCGCTTGCCTTGCATGTATGAGGCCCTGGGTTCAATCCCTCAGCACCATATAAGAAAAAAGAAAAAAGCCGTTAGTGGCACTGTGGCTCAAGTGGTAGAGCGCTAGCCTTGAGCTGAAGAGCTGAAGGACAGTGCCCAGGCCCAGAGTTCAGGCCCCACGACCGGACCCAAAAAAGAAAAAAAAAGTAAAAAATTATCAAAGCTTATTCACACAAACACTACAAACCATGACACCATTTGCAGTGGAGAGAAATATAAATGTAAAGATACAGGTTAGGGCTGGGAAGGTGGCTCAGTGGTAGAGCACTTGCCTTGCATGAACGAGGCCCTGGGTTTGATTCCTCAGCACCATATAAGCAGAAAAAGCCAGAAGTGGTGCTGCAGCTTAAGTGGTAGAGTGCTAGCCTTGAGGACAGTGCCCAGGCCCAGAGGTCAGGCCCCATGACCAACAAAAACAAAAACAAGATACAGGTTAAATCACAATGGGATAAAATGAAGTCATACACATGGAAGCCACCCAGAATGCCACTGTAATGATCTCCAGTGTTCCACCTTGTAACACTAGCCCTTCCACTAAGTGGTGGGTCTCTCCAATATTAGTGTGAAAAATTTAACTTATCTCACAGTTCACCATATAGCATGGAGTGTTGATCAATTACATTATCAATAAGGCTACCAACTATTGGTAGTTAATTTGGAAGAAGACAGGTTATAATAAGGCTTTTTTCTTTTTTTGGTCATGGGGTTTGAATTCAGGGCCTAAGTGCTGTCCATGAGTTTTTCTGCTCAAGGCTAGTGCTCTATCATTTTGAGCCATAGTTCTCCTTTTGATTTTCTGGTGGTGAATTGGAGATAAGTATCTCATGGACTTTCCCGTCCAAGCTGGCTTTGAACCATGATTCTCAGATCTCAGCCTCCTAAGTAGCTAGGATTACAATCATGAACCACCAGCACCCAGCATAACAAAGCTTTTTGATGCAAGAAGTGCTGAGTTCAAAAGAAAGAGAGAGAGAGGAGGGGAGAAGGAAGGAAGGAAGGAAGGAAGGAAGGAAGGAAGCCAGCCAGCCAGCCAGCCAGCCAGCCAGCCAGCCAGCCAGCCAGCCAGCCAGGTGCCGACCTATAATCCTAGCTACTCAGGAGGCTGAAATCTGAGAATCACGGTTCAAAGCCAGCCTGGACAGGAAAGTCCATGAGACTCCTATCTCCAAAGAACCACCAGAAAACCAGAAGTGGCACTGCGGCTCAAGTGGTAAGTGCTCACCTTGAGCTGAAGCTGAGGGACAGCGCCCAGGCCCAGAGTTCAAGCCCCATGACTGACAAAAAGGGAAGGGAGGGAGAGAGGGAAGGAAGGGAATCACCTGCTACTAAGTTAGTCACTTGTAATCCAGGTACTCTGGTGGTAGAGGCAGAAGGGTAACAAGTTTAAGGCCAGCCTGGGATTGCATACTGTGAGCTTTAATATATAAAATGTAAAGATAAAAGTAGATGGTAAAAGCTGGGCCCTGGTGGCTCATGCCTGTAATCCTAGCTACTCAGGAGGCTGAGATCTGAGAATCACGGTTCAAAGCCAGCCTTGGACAGGAAAGTCCATGAGACTCTCATCTCCAATAAACCACTAGAAAACCAGAAGTGCACTGTGGCTCAAGTGGTAGAGCTCACCTTCAGCTGAAGAGCTGAGGGACAGCGCGCAAGCCCAGAGTTCAAGCCCCACGACTGACTCACTCACACACACACACACACACAAAGTAGATGGTAAATTTGGTCATTTGTTAGTTATCTACACACACACAAAGTAGACGGTAAATTTGGTCATTTGTTAGTTATCTATTTTTTTAATGCCTAAGTACATTTGCAGATCACAGCTAGCTATAAGGTTATAAAAGGAGATGAGACCATGAGCAGCCCAAGTTGTTTGTGCATTGCTGAAATTACTTCCTACATTTAAGATTACTTTCATCTACACCCTATCAATTTTTAAGACTTTAAATGTATTAGAAATTATAGATGTCATTTCATGAAGAATATTTTCATTATGAAAATGGCAAGTGGGGGGAGGGGGAGGAAATGAGGCATAGGTGCTGTCCCTTAGCATTTTCTGTGTAAGGCTGGTGCTCTGCCACTTAGACCACAGCTCCATTTCTGCCTTTTTGTTGGTTAATTGGAGTTACTCAGGGGCTTTCCTGACTGGGCTAGCTTTGAACCATAATCCTCATAGCTCAGCTTCCTGAATACCCAGGATTACAGACGTGTACCACCCATGTCTGGCCATTATGGGAATTTTTAGACTTCTGTCCCAGACCAAGCTGAATAGACTTCAACATATTTTCAGAATATTATTTCAAGATGTCCCCAAGAATAGCACCATCTCATCTCCATAATAATCCATGTGTCATTGGGAATAGTATACATCCTTAAGTTTTCAGGAGAAAAATGACATTGTAGTTTCATTCAGGAAACAGCACTCAACTACTAAAAGAGGAAAAACTCAATCAACCAGTCATTATACTGAGTGGAAGTGGGGGAAGAGTAAGACACATAAAACTTAACAAGAATGAGCTGGATGTGGCTCACTCCTGTAATCCTAGCTACTCAGGAGGCTGAGAACTGAGGATTACAGTTTGAAGCCAGCCCAGGCAGGCAAGTTCATGAGGTCTTTTCCAATGAACCACTTGAGCTGTGGCTCAAGTAGTAGAATGCTAGCCTTGAGCAAAAAAGCTCAGAAACAGCACTCAGGTCCTGAGTTCAAGCCCCAGGACCAGCACACACACACATAATCATTTGAGCAAGACCCTGAGTTCAAAGCCCAACGTTATTTTCCTTTCAGGTGATCACTAGAGGGCTAGGGCCTCCAGTGACAGGTCCGCTGGAGTAGGGGGAAGCTATGCACTTTAGAGTGAAGAGCGTATTGTATAGGCATACATGCCTATACAATTCCACCAGACATGCTTGTCTGGTCACCTTGTGTTTCCTATGGGCACAATTATATACAAACCCCAAACTCATGCTGTGCTCTTAATCCTCTAGAACAAATTTGGGTTCTGACAGAACTAACTCCCTGTAAGCCAACTCACCTTCCACCAGGCTTTTCTGCCAAAGAACCTGGATTGCCCTTTTCAACCAAGGTCTCTACTGAAACCTGGTTCCTACCCAAGACCCTCCTGGATTTTACTACTGCAAAGCACTACTATTTTCTCAACCAAGGTTATGTATGAGTTAGTAGACCAAGATACTCAAATAGGAGGTTTATTTACAGTTGTCAAGATGATCATTTGGAAAGGGCCTAGTCATGAAAAAAGTGGCCAGTTTTATATGTCAGCCATAATCTGCCAAAAAAGAGGTTTTTTCCCCAAGGCAACTCAAGTAGTGCTCCTTTCAACTTTACTCAGGATGAAATGGTAAGCCCAACACACAAAATCTTCCCACTACCATTTGTCCACAGGCAAAAACTCCTTTGTACCAATCTTTATGTATTTATTCACACATTTGATAAAAAGATCACAGTTAAGAGCAAAATCATTACAATGACATAACTGTACAGAATCAAATTACTGTAAGTCAGAAGATGAGGCAGCCTCAACTACTTAGCACCTGTGTAGACTCTCACACACACAACTGTTCACAACCACAGGCGCTAAGTTCACACATGACCCAGAGAATTTTCTCTGGTTTCTGTCAGGTCCTAGGGGAGAGAAATGGTGATAAAAAGATGCCAGACTGCTCAATGCAACTCTGCTCTGCAAAACAACTCCGAGAAGAGACGAAACACTGGGGCTCTCGTTGTTTCCTTGGCACATAAGTGAAAAAACAACTAGGTCAAGGAGGTGTTTAATTAGTCTCAGGTTTAGATTCCTTTCAACACCACAACAGGATAGCAAGCAGGAAAAAAAGAAGAAACTCCAGAAAAAAAGGAGGAGGATTTAAAATTTGATCCCCATTCTCCCAAAAGACTGTGCATGACTATAAGGAAAACTAGTGAGGCCAAGCAGTACCATCTGGTACCATCCCAACAGTGTGGCCTGCTTTTGTTTCAGTTCTGAAGAGGGAAGGAAAATCTTTTTAAAGGAAGAAACCACATTCCCACTGCACTGAGTTTGAGGCATGACTGCATCTGTTCATCCACACAGCTTGCCTACAGTTCTGAAAGCTCTGAGGAGGGGTGCAGCCTACATTTCTCTTGCATTTAGCCTTCTGAGGACAAGTCAATTCAGTAGCTGGGAAAATGCCTGAACCAAAACAATGTATTTTCTAATCAGAATAGCTTTGGCGAGAAAGTGCTCAATTCCCCCAAGGCCTTTTTAATAGAAATATTAAAAAATTAAATGTGATTTTTTTTGTGTGCATTTCACTGACCCTGACAAAGGAACTAGTGATACAGAAAGCTGTTGTCTAAAAGGGCTCATTTCTAGTGTTCTTGGCAAATGGCTAAGGCTGGCAAAGAAGCAATGATCCAAAGAATATAGCTTTGAGTGGGGTGGTATTCTGCAAGAGGAGAAATTTCTTGGTATAAACTTCATGTCCCTAAGGATAAAAGGTGAGGACAAGGCACTTAACATGGCCAAGTATCATTCACACCCATTCACACTAGACCTGTTACCAAGAGTACTCCCAGTGACCCCCTCATAAGAAATGACCAGCCAACCACACCTTCCAGGTGACTTGCAGAATGGAAGGAAATCCAAGCACTGCACAACCAATGGTAAGATATGGAATGTCAGCAAGGAAACTACTTGGAAGAAGCAGATGGAAGTCATCCCCTTCTGGCCTGAGGTGAAAGGCTTGTTCCAGACTAGCTCGGAGAAACACTGAATCTCAAAATGGTTAGCCTGAGAATTTGACAATGTCTCCACAATGCTGCCTTCTCTGTTTGCTAGAGAGCAATAAGGGCTCTGAATAAGATCAAGACTCCAGTTAGTGAATTATCCTGCATTGGTGGTTACAGCAGACGCCTTCTAACACATGTGGCTTGTCCCCGTTCTGTAGCAGTGATAAGGGACTGAGACAGGGTTAGAAGTGTCTGTCTATCCTTATCCCAAAGTCTTTCAGGCATATTCAATCTGAGCAGGGCTATGACTACCCTCAGTCTTCCGCTCAGAGGACTGGGAAGTGGCCTTGGCCTCACTGTTCATTTCTAGAGGCTTAGCCGCGATGTAGTCCTTCACTTTGATCTCCATGTTCTTGGCTTTCAGAGTGGCTGTGTGAAGCTTCTCCAGGAAATCTGGCATGCCTGTAAGGAGATGGAGAATCCAGTTAAGCCGACATACAAACAATGGCAGGCTCAACTAGGGAAGGCTGTCTTCTGATCATGGGAAACCTGTTCTTCCTTATGAAGACAACAGCCTGAATGACCTTGGTGTGACAACTGCCTCCCAAATTGCATCCACATATATGGGTTGTGCAAACTATCTGTGATTGCTGATCCTTTGATACTGATTAGGCCGCTTAAATCCCAAAAAGATTGAAAAATAATCATTTATCAGTACACACTTCTACCACCCTCCTTTGAGTAGCAGATTATGTATATGTATGAAAACAGTATAATGAGCAGGACACCAGTGGCTCATGCCTATAATCTTAGCTACTCAAAAGGCTGAAGCTTCGGGCTGGGAAGGTAGCTCAGTGGTAGAGCGCTTGCCTTGCATGCCTGAGGCCCTGGGTTCGATTCCTCAGCACCACATAAGAAAAAAGAAAAAAGCCAGAAGTGGTGCTGTGGCTCAAGTGGTAGAGTACTAGCTTTGAGCTAAAGAGCTGAGGGTCAGTGCCCAGGCCCAGAGTTCAGGCCCCACGACCAGACCAAAAAAAAAAAAAAGGCTGCAGCTTGAAGGATGGAGGTTTAAAGCCAGCCCAGCAGAAAACAAGCAAAATGCTATACAGATGTATGAATACTATTACTGGCATTACTATTATGGATGTATGCTATCTCAACAAGCAAAATGCTATATGGATGTATGGTTCAAATGGTAGAACACCATATATGAGCAAACAAGCCAATGAGAACACAACTCTTGGCCCTGAGTTCAAGGCCAGGAACCATCACATACACAAAAAAGAAAATAGCATAATGAAATCCATCAGAAATGGTAAAATGAGGAATGAAGAAGAGGAATAAATATAAATGGATTGACCTTCAGTGTTGGTGGCTTACACTTGTAATCCTAGCTACTTCAGAGGCTGAGATCTGAGGATCTCCATTTGAATCCAGCCTAGACAGGAAAGGTTATGAGACTCATCTCCAATTAACCACCAAAAAACCAGAGGAACAGCTGTGGCTCAAGTGTACAGCACAGCTGAGGGACAGGCCCCTGGCCCTGAATTTAAGCCCAAGTACCAGCACAAAAATAAAAACAAATGAATTTGATTAAAGTACATTAAATATGTACATTGTCAATATTATAATGAAACCTCTTTGTACAATAAATTTATGTTAATAAAATCTAAAAAGACTATCAAGTGACAGTAGTTCATGCCTGAGATCTAAGGATTGTGGTTCAAATCGAGCCTGGATAGGAAAGTCTGTGAGACTCTTATCTCCAATAAACCAACAAAAACTGCAAGTGGTGCTGTGACTTAAAGTGGTAGAGTGCTAGCCTTGAGCAAAAGACCTTAGGAATAGCTCCAGGCCCTGAATTCAAGCCCCATGACTAACCAAAAAAAAAAAAAAACAGGCTGGGAAGGTGGCACAGTGGTAGAGTGGTTGCCTTGCATGCATGAGGCCCTGGGTTCGATTCCTCAGCACCACATAAGCAAAAAGAAAAAAGCCAGAAGTGGTGCTGTGGCTCAAGTGGTAGAGTGCTAGCCTTGAGCTGAAGAGCTAAGGGACAACGCCCAGGCCCAGAGTTCAGGCTCCACACTGGCAAAAAAAAAAAAACTTAAAAAGAGTAATAATTAAATTAAAAGGTGGGCAAATAAGATATGTACATGTCCAACAAACATGTGAAATTATCTTTAATATCACTAATCACTAGGAAACTGCAGATCAAAATAAGACACTACATCCTCTTAGATGGCTCTAATAAGATGATAGGCCAATAACAAGTGTTGGAGACATAGAGAAACTAGAACTGTCATCAATTGCTGTTCAAGAGTATAGTCACTTTGGAAAAAATTAAAATTTTAGGCACAAACTACTATAACATTACTAATATTGCTAAATATTTCTCCAAGATAAACAAAAACATATATCTCTATAAAATCTGTATATTTAAAAGTATGGTATATTTTTATCCACAAAATAGATAATTCATCCATAAAAATAAAGTACTAACACGTGTTATATAACACTGATGAACATCAAAATAATGTGCTATGTGAAAGAAATACAGGCAAATCTAGAAAATAAGTAAGTGGTTGCCTAGGGCCAAGGACTCAAGTTAGATGATGCTGTCTAAGGTACAGAGTTTCTTCTGGGAATGATGAAAATGTTCTAAAATTGATGGTAGTAATAGACACAGAACTCTGTGAACAAAGGAAAAGCTACTGAATTTAAGCATACTTACAATGAGTGACTTGAATGATATGGGGATATAACCTCAATAAACTTCAAAAATCCTAAAATAAGCCAGTTGCCAGCAGCTTACACTTAAATCCTAGCTATTTGGGAGGCTGAGATTGGAGGATAATGGTTTAAGGCCAGCAGGGCAAAAGGTTTAAGAGATTCCTTCTCAACATGGTGGCCTGTCATCCTAGTTACACAAGAAGCTTGAATAGGAAGATCAGTCCTGCCGGGCACTGGTTGCTCACGCTTATAATCCTAGCTACTCAGGAGGCTGAGATCTAAGGACTGAGGTTCAAAGCTAGGCCAGGCAGGAAAGTCCGTGAGACTCTTATCCCCAATAAACCACTAGAAAACCGGAAGTGGTGCTGTGGCTCAAGCGGTAGAGCTGAAGAGTGCAGGGACAGCGCCCAAGCCCAGAGTTCAAGCCCACGACTGACAAAAAAAAAAAAAAAAAAAAAAAAGGGAAAAAAGGGCAGGAGAGTGTGAGCCAGAGTTCAAGTCTCAGTAGTGGCACAGAAAAAGAAGGAGTACTCTGGAAAGATGGCTCAAGCAGTAGTGTCTGTTCCTAACAAGTACAAAGTCCTGAGTTCAAACTCCAGTACTCCCAAAAAACAATAATCAAGAGCAAAGTCAAATAGCTGCCAACTTAATTAGGTAAATGTCAAACAAAAATATTATCTCCAATCAGGTACCAGTGGCTCATACTTGTATTTAGTTACTCAGGGAACAGAGATTTGGAGGACTGCAGTTCAAGACTAGGCCAGGCAGAAAAGTCTGCAAGACTCTATCTCCAAAAATAAACAGCAAAAAGCTGGGCTGGAGGTATGACTCAAGTGGTAAGAGTACACAGCCTAGAAAGCCTGAGGCCCAGAGTTCAAATCCCAGTACTAGTTTTAAAAAGACAATAAAAATCTAATCTCTCCATTCTTCCCTTTAGGTCTAAGAAAATACAAAAGCCAGGTGCTGATGGCTCCTATCTGTAATCCTAGCAACTCAGGAGGTTGAGACCTGAGGATCACAGTGCAAAGCCAGCTCGGGCAGGTAAATCTGTAAGACTCTTATCTCCAATAAACTACATAGAAAAAGCTGCAAGTGGCACTGTGGCTCAAGTGGTTAGAGTGCTAGCCTTGAGTGAAAGGATTTCAGGGGCAGCATCCAGGCCCAGAGTTCAAGGCCCAGGACAAGAGAGAGAGAGAGAGAGAGAGAGAGAGAGAGAGGGGAGGGAGGGAGAGAGGGAGGGAGGGAGGGAGGGGAAGAAAGAGAGAGAGGGAGAGAGAGAGAGGGAGGGAGGGAGGGAGGGAAGGAAGGAGAAAATACAGAACCAGGGGCTGGGAAGGTGGCTCAGTGGTAGAGCGCTTGCCTTGCATGCGTGAGGCCCTGGGGCCCTGGGTTCGATTCCTCAGCACCACATAAGCAAAAAGGAAAAAGCCAGAAGTGGCACTGTGGCTCAAGTGGTAGAGCACTAGCCTTGAGCTGAAGAGCTGAGGGACAGCACCCAGGCCCAGAGTTCGGGCCCCACGATCGGACCCCAAAAAAGAAAGAAAAGAAAGAAAGAAAGAAAGAAAGAAAGAAAGAAAGAAAGAAAGAAAGAAAGAAAGAAAGAAAGAAAGAAAGAAAGAAAGAAAGAAAGAAAGAAAGAAAGAAAGAAAGAAAGAAAGAAAGAAAGAAAGAAAGAAAGAAAGAAAGAAAGAAAGAAAGAAAGAAAGAAAGAAAGAAAGAAAGAAAGAAAGAAAGAAAGAAAGAAAATACAGAGAACCAAAATAAAGAAAACCACATAAGGATGTTTCAAAGACAAGAAATTAGAAAGGGAAAATGTGGTTATAGTTATGACATGTAAACACATATGCTTTGACTGCCCCTCAGGCTAGACATAAGGTTTACAACTCTTCTTTTCTTACCTATTTTGAGACAAGGTCTTACTGGGTCTCCTTGACTAGCCTGGAAATCATGATCCTACTGTTTCAACCTACAAAGTGCTATAATTTCAAATATGTCCCATCATGCTCAGCACTTCTCTACCAAGCAAAACTTTTAGACACATTAATATATACAGTCTATATTGAAAACTTTGAAGCCAATGTTTTTATAACTTTTCTCTAGGCAACAGTTCCTTTTTGGACCCCTGTAATCCTCATCTCTTTAAATCCACCTGGAGTTAATAATGAACTAGGAAGGATGCTAAATTTCCATAGCAGCATTCCATTAAGACACTAATACTTCTGTTGGCATTTAGAAAACAAAGAAAAACAAAATGTTCAACCCAAGTTCCAAGTGTCCTACTCACCGCTGGAAACCATCCAACTAACACAATAGCGAGGAAACACAGTCTGGGGATTGTCACTGTATGTCAACAAGTAGTCAAAGCCATTCTGGGGGGAAAAAAAAACAATAAAGATGAGGACACTTGAATTACCTACACCAACCTCTATATCAGTGCCATGGACTAACCATGACAATCAGACTCTGGAGCAGGGAATATCATTTGTTTCACCCTGTGCAAAAAAAGTTCACCCTGAAGGCCTGACACTGCTATTCATAGTCCTTGAGCTTTAGCCTACATGGCTCTGAGTGTTCCCAGTCAACAATCAACTGACAGGCTAGCTTCTAGTACCCAGGCAATACAAATCACGTGGCTTCTACTGAGCATAGGTTTTCCTTTTGAGAGTCTATTAGTAAATACAAAGAAGAGAGCATGTTATATGATCAGTTCCCAATAAAATCTTGGGGTGCTCAGTCTATTAAATCTTTTGGCCAGAAACATGACAGATGCATATTACTGGAAAAAGAGGTACATATGAATTACACCATATTACCCCTGTCTTTTTCTCTTATAGCTGTATATTCTTACTACATCATTGTCATTTCCATTTTGTGGGGAGGAGGGAGTGTTTGGGATGAGTCTCAATTTTAGATCAGGCTAGCCGTAAATTTATAATCCTCCTGCCTCAGCCTCTTGAGTATTGAGACCACAAATATGTATGCCACCATGCCTAAGTCCACCTTAAAGATGTTAATGATTTTTTTGTTTGCTTTATTTTTTTGTCACAACTAGAAGTGTCAGAACTCCATCTTTTATTCTCTCCATAAGTAGAACTGTTTATATTTACCCAACATATGTTTGAATGTCTGCTATATGTACATGTGCATCACTGAGTTAGGTGCTGTGGAGAAATTTGCTCCAGCTCTTGCCTTTGGAAGCATCTAGTTACTAGGATAAAAAGGTGCCCCAGAAGGAGAGATAAAGGCTGTAAAACAGGAAAAATAGTAGAAGCCACAACAAAGGATGTTCACACAGAATGAGGTTAACAGAAGTCAAAGACTTTAAATCATTCTGCCCAGAAAACACTTGGGCTGGGAAGTCAGGAGACCTGTATTCCCATCCCTGGGCTTATATTATCAGAAGGAGCCAAAAAAGTAAACAATGGTCATGTACAGGAAGAAGGAAGGAAACTGGGTAGAAGAAACAAGGATAAACTAAACTACTCTCAATATTCCTTATACACTTGACTTTAGAAGCCCTCAGGTATCTTTTATAACTTAATAAAACTCTGGACTTATATAATAACTTAATACAATTTAATAATTTAAATCCAAAGTGAAAAATAAAGTATCCATGGGCTAAGGAAGGACAGAGAAAGAGTGATTAATTAGTAAGTTGTGCAAGTGGAACTTTATAGAACACAGTTGACACGTTAGTTGTATATTTCAAAATAGCTAGCAGAGAAGACTGCATATTTTAATCACAAAGAAATGGTAAATGTCTGAGGTGACAGACAGGCAAGTAACCCCACTCTGACCATTACACATTATATACATATATGGAAATGTCACAGCATGCCTGTAAATACATATGGTTACTTTAAGTGTCTATTTTTTAAAATTTAAAGGAAAATTAAAGAACCTAATTTTAATTGAGTTGGTAGGAAAATCTACAAAGACCTATTTCAAATGACTTTAAAACTCAATATTTCGTACATACTGCCTATCCTGAGGACAAAAGGCACAGCAGCTCAGAGAGCAGTTCAGTGACGTTTACTTAGCTGTGTGACAACCTGGGTTCAATCCTCAGTAGCACCCAAAAAAATAAAAAGGCATACAAATTTTCACCACTCATATTATTGGTGGTCCTGCTGCTACTGTTATTCTGGGACTGTTGTATGTTTCAGCCTAAAGCAAACTAACAGCTATTTAAGTTGGGATTGCTGGAAATTGACTTCTATAGCACAGAGAAAGATAATGGACATGACATATAGCCGTGCAGCAGTAGCTCACACCTATAATATTCACTACACAGGAGGCTGAGATCTGAGGATCTCATTTTTTTTGGGGGGGGGGGGGGGGTCCGGTCATGGGGCCTGAACTCTGGGCCTGGGCACTGTCCCTCAGCTCCTCAGCTCAAGGCTAGCACTCTACCACTTGAGCCACAGCGCCACTTCCTGCTTTTTTCTTTTTGCTTATGTGGTGCTGAGGAATCGAACCCAGGGCCTCAGGCATGCAAGGCAAGCGCTCTACCACTGAGCCACCTTCCCAGCCCTGAGGATCTCAGTTTGAAACTAACCCAGGCAAGAAAATCTGTGAGACTTATTATCTCCAATTAACTATTAAAAAAAGCCAGAAGTAGAGCTGTGGCTCAAATGGCAGAGCACTAGCCTTGAGCAAAAAAGCTCAGAGACTGGACAGGCGCCGGTGACTCATGCCTGAAATCCTAGCTACCCAGGAGGCTAAGATCGGAGGATTACAGTTCAAAGCCAAGAGTCCGAGTTGGCTTGGACCTCAGCCTTTATAGTGCTGGGACTATAGACTTGAGCCACTACTCTAGTTCCATTGATTTGGCTTGCTTGTTCACAGATGCTCGTAACACCTCAGGGCCTTTTTGCTAGATATTTGTGCAGACTTGGATATTTGGGCTGGCCTGGAACTATATTATGGTTCTCTGGATCTCAGTCTTCTGAGTAGCTAGAAATTATAGGCATATAAAACAAGACTTCAGCCTTGTTTTTGCTTTTGGTTTCTTTTTTCCCACCTTCTTTTGGCAGTACTGGGGTTTGAACTCAGGGCTTCAAATACTCTATCACTTGAGCCACACCTATAGACTTCTATAGATACTTCTCAAATAAAACCTTATATTTGTTGATTCCCAATTGCGGAACCAATTCAAACTAGTAAATAAAAAAAAAAAATAATAAGGGCTGGGAAGGCAGCTCAGTGGTAGAGTGCTTGCCTCACATGCATGAGGCCCTGGGTTCAATTCCTCAGCACCACATAAGCAGAAAAAACCGGAAGTGTTGTTGTGGCTCAAGTGGTAGAGCACTAGCCTTGATCTGAAGAGCTGAGGAACAGCGCCCAGGCCCAGAGTTCAGGTCCCACGACCAACCAAAATAGATAGATAGATAGATAAAAAGATAGACAGACAGATAGATAGATAGATAGATAGAATAGCCAAGTATTTCTCTTTCCCCATATGAACTATAGGAAAACAAAATATTGATGGGAAGTTTTTATCTGAGATATTTCAGCTAATAAAGAAAAATAAAAAATTTACAAAATCAACATTCTATAACCCCTTGTGAAATAAGGGATAATTACTGGTAGTTTCTAAGCCTAAGCTAGGCACTGGTGGCTCAATTTTAAGTCAGCCTAGGCAGCTAAATAAGCAAAATTCTCATCTCCAATATCCAGCAAAAAGCCAAAAGTAGAGGCCTTGACTTGAACAAAAAAGCTAAACAGGAACAAGAGGCCAAGAGTGCAGCACACAAAAAAGAAATAGCCTTTAAACTCACAAAAGGCCAACCCAAACATGTTATCTGTCTTGTAGCAAAGTGGTCTTACTGCCAGGTGCTGGTGGCTTATGCCTGTAACCTAGCTACTCAGGAGGTTGAGATCTGAGGCTCATGGTTCATAGACAGCCCAAGCAATAAAGTCTGTGGGACTTTTTTTTGGTGGGTTGTAGGACTTGAACTCAGGGCCTGGCCATGTCCCTGAGTTGTTGGTTTTTTTGGGCCACCAGTAGTGGGGCCTGAACTCTGGGCCTGGACACTGTCCCTCAGCTCTTCAGTTCAAGGATAGCGGCCCTACCACTTGAGCCACAGCACCACTTCCTGCTTTTTCTACTTATGTGGTACTGAAGAATCTAACCCAGGGCCTCATGCATGCAAGGCACCCACTCTACAACTGAGCTACCTTCCTAGCCCCATCTATCCCTGAGCTCTTTTGCTCAAGGGTAGCACTCTACCATGTGAACTACAGCCCCACTTCTGGTTTTCTGGTGGTTAATGGCATGAGCCACCAGCACCTGGCTCACTGAGACTCTTATCTCCAATTAAATACAAAAACAAAAACAAAAAAACAAAGCATCAGTCCCTGAGTTCAAGACCCAGGACCAGCACAAAAATAAGTAAGTAAAGCTGGGTATTGGTGGCTCACAACTGTAATCCTTGCTACTCAGGAGACTGAGATCTGAGGATCCCAATTCAAAGCCAGCCTGGGCAGGAAAGTCTGAAAGACCTTTATCTCCAAATAAACTACTCAGGTAAGGCCAGAACTGGCACTGTGGCACTGTGGCTCAAGAGGTAGAGCGCTAGCCATGAGCAAAAGGAACTCAAGGACCAAGCTCACGCCCTGAGCTCAAGCCCAGTGATCAGTGTCATAGACAGATAGACAGACAGACACAGAGAGAGAGAGCGATAAAGTGACCTTACCAAGAATAACAAACTATTAAATCTGTTGAAGCCTCAATATCCATAAAAAGACAGGAGAAAGAAGACCATGGTAAATGACACTCCAGACTCTGTAGGTAATGAGTCTGTAATAAAATAAATAATAGGTCAAGCAAGCCCAGGACTAAGAAGGCTGCTTCTTCAACCAACACAAATCCAACACAAAAGGAAGGAGGAATTACACTCATTTCAAGAGACTCAAGAAACAGTGAATGAATTTCAATGTATAGTTCTATTTGGATTTTGATTCAAATAGGCTAAAGACTAATAAATTGAAACAAAATAAAAATTTTAAGGAATAGATCAAAAGCAACAGAAAATTTAAACATTCCTTAGATATTTTATATTAGGTATAACTGTTGATTATTTTAGCCATAATTATGAAAATATAATCAAAGTAATATTTTTAAAAATATTAAAATACCTATAGAATCTCTAGACTATTAAAATATTTATACTATCTTCTATAGTAAAACTAGAATTTGTTTTAAAGTAACCAGGAGGAGGACTAGCCTGGAGAAGTGGCTCAAGCGATAAGTTGCTAGCCTAGCAATAGCAAAGCCCTGAGTTCAAATCCCAGTACTGAAAAAAGAAACTATATTTTTCTCATATTATATATGAGGAAAAATGAGAAAAATTGAAAGGGTACCAGATGAGAAAGAAAAGTACAAGGGGTGCAGATAATACGAGTCTGACCACGAGCTGGTTAAGTGTTGAAACTGGGAAAACATTCATTATGCCTTTACTTCTACTTCAGTATCATTTGTATATGTCTTAAATTTTCCATTAATAAAAAGTCAGTTGAACATAACACCTTACCTTGGCTAAAGGATCTACTTTCCATCTGTCAAATACAAACTGAGCTACCTGTTTTTTTGTTTTTTGTGGGTTTTTCTGGTTGGGCCTAGGCACTATCCCTGAGCAATTCTGCTCAAGGCAAGACTCTTCCACTTAAGCCACAGTGCCACTTCCGGTTTTCTGGTAGATTTTTTTTTTTTTTTTTAAATTGGAGATAAGAGTCTCAGGGACTTTCTTGCCTGGGCTGGCTCTGAACCACAATCCTCAGATCTCAACCTCCTCAGTAGCTCCTTTTCTATCTCCCCACCCCCCTACCCGCTTTGGCCGGTTGTGGGGCCTAAACTCTGAGTCTGAGCGTTGTCCCTCAGCCCTTCAGCTCAAGGCTAGGACTGTGCCACTTGAGCCACAGTGCCACTTCCAGCCTTTTCTGTTTATGTGGTGCTGAGGAATTGAATCCAGGGCCTCATGCATGCCAGGCAAGCCCTCTACCACTAAGCCACCTTCCCAGACCTCCTTTTCTGTCTTTTAAAGCAAGAAAAATTTCAAATATTTTTAAAAATTTCAAATATTTTTAGCTATAACCCACTGTAAATAATTCTTTTTATAATGCAGCCAAAATTTTCTCTCCTTTTGTTTCACAGCCACATATGCAATCAACCAAAAGTTACATGAAATATGCTTATACTCATTCCTATTGTTTCTTTAAAAAACAAAAACTAAGCATAGCCAGGCACCAGTGGCTCACGTCTATAATCCTAGATACTCTGCAGGATGAGATTTAAGGATTGTGATTTGAAGCCAGCTCAAGATAAAAGTCCATGAGACTTTTATCTCCAATAAATTACTAAAAAAGCCATAGTGGGTCTGTTGCTCAAGTGTTAGAGCACTACTCTTGAGCAAAAGAAGTTTAAGGACAGTGCCCAAGCCCTGAGTTTAAGCGCCAGAATGAAGGAAACAAAAAAAAAAAAGGCAAAACTACGCACAGCCAGGCACCAGTGGCTTACATCTATAATAATCCTACCTACTCAAAAGGCTAAGATCTGAAGATCAAGGTTCAAAACCAGCTCAGGCAGGAAAGTCCATGAGACTCTTATCTGCCATTAATCAGCAAAAAAGCCAGATACAGAGCTGTAGCTAGTGTGGTAGAGTGCTAGCCTTGGGAAAAAAGGCACAGGACAGCACCCAGGCCCAGAGGTAAAACTGGCACCAAGAATTTAAAATAAATAAATAATAAAACTGATAATTATTCTCTAATAACTTCTCCAACTAAGAAGTAGCAACTTGTAAGTCAAAGAATACTGCTTTAAAAATAGCACAGGAATGTGGCTTAGTGGTAGAGTGCTTGCCTAGCATGCATGAAGCCCTGGGTTCAATTCCTCAGTACCATATAAACAGAAAAAGCCAGAAGTAGCACTGTGGCTCAAGTGGTAGAGTGCTAGCCTTGAGCACAGATTGGCTCAGCGACAGTACCCAGGCCCTGAGTTCAAGCCCCAGGACTGGCATTAAAAAACAAAAACACAGAAAGCCGGGTACGGGTGGCTCATGCATGTAATCCTAGCTACTCAGGAGGCTCAGATCTGAGGATCATGGTTCAGATCACAGTTCAAAGCCAGCCCCAGCAGGAAAGTCTATGAGATTCTCAAGTGGTAGAGTGCTCACCCTGAGCTAAAGAGCTTAAGACAGCGCCCAGGCACAGAGTTCATGCCCCACGCCCAACCCCCACGACCCCCATACACACATCTTCCAGTTAAGAAATCAGTATGCTAAAGTTAACCGTTGTCTGTTACAGTAAAAGAATCTTTATAGTATAAATTAAACAACTTGAGAAGAATAGGAATGAACAGAATCAGCCAGCTGCAAAGGCTCATATAGTAACTACTTAGGAGGCAGATGTCAAGAGGACTGTAGTTCAGAACTAGCCCAAGCAAAACATTAGCAAGGGGGCTGGGAAGATGGCTCAGTGGTAGAGTGCTTGCCCTGTATGCATGAGAACCTGGGTTCAATTACTCAGCACCACATAAGCAGAAAAAGCCGGAAGTGGTACTGTGACTCAAATGGTAGAGCGCTAGCCTTGAGCTGAAGAGCTGAGGGACAATGCCCAGGCCCAGAGTTCAGGCCCACAACCAACCAACCAAAAAAAAAAAAAAAAAGTTAGCAAGACCAGTTTCAATCAATAACCTGAATGTGGTAGCACATACTTGTGCTCTCAGCTCCAGAAGAGTAGTAAGAAGACAGAGGTCCAGAGCTGACTCCAGACCCTATTTAACTGAAACCAAAAAAGGCTGTGGACATGCATGTGCTCAGGTAGCAGAGCTCCTGACTAGAAAGCTCAAGATACTGAGTAACTCCCACTCCCCCCTACACACAGAGTCCACATAACTCTAAAACAAAAGCAGTAAGGAAAAACCAAGCCATTACAAAGCAAAACACAACTAAAGTCAGCAACTACTGGCACTGGTATATATACTCACTCACCAGAAACTTTTTTTTTTTAAATAAAGAAAGTTGGGCATGGTGGTACATCTATAATTCCAGAACTTGGATGGATAAAGCAGAGGAGGAAGATTGAAAATTTGAATCCAGGCCAAGGTACATTCTGAAACCAGTCTTAAAAACAAACAAACAAAATAAGACATTCCACTATTCTAAGAAGTCACAGAATTTTCAAATAGTGAGAGCTTTAGTCTAGCTCTTCTATTTTACTGCCAAGGAAGCAGGAATCCAGTACTGTTTTTAGCGCTTTGCCTACCAGGTGACATGTTCATTCTATTTCCTGAAGAAAGCAGCTGATATACACAAAATTATCTTCTCTTAACTATCTCTCAGATAAAAGGCAGCCCACAAATTATCATTACTTTGACTTTGTTAATTTTCCATTTGTATCATCCTAGAGTGGTCGTTGAAGAAGCAGTCTCCAAAAGATGGCTCCCAGATAAAAAAACCTGAGCCTAGCCATAGTAATTTTTCCCAAGTGTAAATTCTGGAGCCATGCTAAGGCTAGGCCCCAGCAATGTACTTTAATAAGCTCCAGAGGACTCTGGTACATGCCAAGTTTGAGAATTACTGCCCTCCAGTAATTTATCCCCTACCCTAGGTTCAGAGAAAGAAAATTCTAAAATCAAGACATTATTTCTTGGGAGAAGTAAAACTCACCTCATCAAATGACTTGTGGGGACGGATAACCATTTGGGATTCATAGGATCTGACCCTCACAAATTCTGGAGACTCTGGCACACTGGGATGTTGTACAGCACTGCAAGGTGGAAGGTGAAGAAAACCAAATGTAAGCCAACCAAAGCTAAGGTCAAAGAGAGGACCTAAAAAGCTGGTTCTGCTTTACAAAACAAAACAGATGGATCACTAAGATGAATATTACAAACTACGCAAGGAAAGAGAAGACAATAGACTGGGTTATTCTGAGCAAAAAACATATATGTACAACTGAATTTTTTTTTTCTTTGTCGGTCGTGGGGCTTGAACTCTGGGCCTGAGTGTTGTCCCTCAGCTCTTCAGCTGAAGGCGAGCACTCTACCACTTGAGCCACAGCACCACTTCTGGTTTTCTGGTGGTTATTGGAGATAGGAGTCTCATGGTCTTTCCTGTCCGAGCTGGCTTTGAACCGCGATCCTCAGATCTCAGCCTCCTGAGTAGCTAGGATTACAGGGTGAGCCACCAGTTCCTGGCCAACTGAATTTTTTTTTAAGAATTACAAACTAAGTTGTGAAAAATGAGGTAGTTCCCTTTACTATTGGCAATGTACAGCTCACTATGTAGCACTTCTTTTTAAATTAAAATCTTGTATCCTTTCAGTCTTCCTAACCAGTCACAGCCCACTTCTCTTCCAGCTGGGATAGATGGGGCAATTTGGCTGCTAGAAAACCTCCCTGGAAAATTTCCAGGTGTGCTGATAATACCATAGCATATAGAGTCCAATGAGTGAAAGAAAGGCACAGCTAAGGGGAACTTGGCAAGAGCCATACAACTATACATACCGAGACACCAACACCATCACATTGTTCTCTTGATCCACACTGTATCGTCGAACATAAACATAATCCCGAGAGTACATCGGATACTAAGAAATGAAGGGACAGGATTAGTGATGTGTACCACATGGACTTGATAGAAGTAAACCCACAAATAAGAATACTCACAGGGAAATGGGTTACCCAGTGAAGAACCTCAGAACCACTAACCACGTCCCTCTCAATCACCTCCAGCTTGATCACCAGAGCATCCCACTTTTTTCTATACTCTGTGTCCAGCTGCAAAAGAGAAGATTATGAAACAAGAAGATCCAAAATTTAAATGCAAGCCTTTTCTAGGAGCTTGGACCTTTGATTCAGAACCTTTGTGAGGAAATAGTGATCTGACCTACATATAAAAGTGTAAAAGGCATAGCTATGCTTTAAATATATATATATGTAATTTTATTATTATTAAGGTATTGTACAGAGAAGTTAGAAGCCAAGCACCAATGGCTCACACCTGTAATCCTAGCTACTTAGGAGTCTGAGATCTAAGTTCAAAGCCAGCTTGGGCAGGAAGTCCCTAAGACTTTTTACTTCCAATTAACTACCAAAAAGACAAAAGTGGCAGAGTACTAGCCTTGAGCACAAAAGCTCAGGGACAGCACCCAGGTCCTGAGTTTAAGCCCCAGGACCAGCAAAAAAAATTTTTTAAGGCAGCCAAGGAGGAGAGGTAGTAGCTCATGTTCATAACCCCAACACTCAGAGTGAGGTAAAAACCTTAATTTCAAGCTACCTGGGTAACATAGGGTGACCTTGTCTCAAAATAAACAAGGTCTAAAAACAAACAAAAAGAAAAAAAAACACACACAGATCTGGATATGTTGCTCTGTGGTAAAGTACTTGTCCAACATGTGCAAGACCCTGAGTTCTATCTACTACATTGAAATAAAGGGAAAAGAAGGTAGAAGGAAGGGATGGTATCTCTATTAACTAAGGTATTGCAAAAGACAGACATATTATACACATGAAAACCAACAAAAATACAACACAAATTAACAGGAATCCAGGACCTAGGTGAAAATGCACTGGCTTATTACTAGTAGGTGTTACAATAACTTGTTAAATAGTTTGGCAAAACAAATGGAAATACCAGGAAGCAAAGGTTTCTATGTAGAATTCTAGGTGGTCCTCACTCTCTTCTCACTTTCGCTTTAAGCATCCTCCCACTCCAACAAATACTCAGCACCTTTACTAAATAAATACCTTCATCAGAGAAATGCTCCAGACTAAAAGAAGTTCAGGAGACATGGTAACTAAATGGAATCCTAACTGGGTTGAAGAGGAAAATTCTATAAAGGACATTACTGGGTCAATTGTTAAACTAGGTCATATTGAAATGTTTAGCAAGCCAGGAGCCTGTAATCCTAGTTCATTAGGAGTCTGAGATTTGGAGCATCAGTTTCTGTGAGGGGTCAGTTGTGGGGCTTGAACTCTGGGCCTGGGCGCTGTCCCTCAGCTCTTCAGCTCAAGGCTAGCACTCTACCACTTGAGCCACAGCACTACTTCTGGTTTTCTGAGTGGCTTATTGGAGTCTCACAGACTTTTTTGCCCTGGCTGGCTTTGAACCGCAATCCTCAGATCTCAACCTCCTGAGTAGCTAGGATTACAGGCATGTGCCACCTGTGCCCAGCTGGAGAATCAGTTTGAAGCCAGTCTGGGCAGAAAAATTGGCAAGATTCCATCTTCAAAACAAGCAACAAAAATACAAGCTAGAGGGGCTGGGAAGGTGGCTCAGTGGTAGAGTGCTTGCCTTGCATGTATGAGGCCCTGGGTTCAATTCCTCAGCACCACATAAGCAAAAAGAAAAAAGCCGGAAGCGGCGCTGTAGCTCAAGTGGTAGAGCGCTAGCCTTGAGCTGAAGAGCTGAGGGACAGCTCCCAGGCCCAGAGTTTAGGCCCCACGACCGGACCCAAAAAAATAAAAAAATAAATAGAAGCTAGAGACATGTCTTAAGTAGTAGAACACTAGCAATGATAGATGAGACCATAAGTTCAAACGCTAATGCTGACACACATACAAAGTAACACAAAAAAAAATTTATGCACAGTTTTAAGAAATATACATTGGGGGATTTAAGAATAAATAACTATGCTTTCTGTAATCTGCCCTTGAATTGTTCAGGGGAAAAAAGTTTTATAAATATATTAAAGCATTAGAATCTTTCAATTTGATCTTCTCAATAGCTGGAAGTGGGAGATGGTAGGCAGAGTATCTCATCCTCACAGAACAGATAAAAAAAATTGTAAGTCAAATGTTTACCCAAAGCTGATCACTAGTGGCTCATCCTTGTAATCCTAACTACTTAGGAGGCTGAGATCTAAGGTTTGAAGTTCAAAGCCAGCTCAGGCAGACTCTCATCTCCAATTAATTGCTCAAAAGACAGAAGTGGAGCTATGGCTCAAAGTGGTACAGTGGTAGCCTTGAGCAAATGAGTTCAGAGACAGTGCCCAGGTCCTGAGTTCAAGCCTTACAATGTGGCGAGGGGGGGGGGAGGTGGTGGTAATTACTTAGATGCTATGTGCTCTGAGTAAGAAATAAAAACATGTGGACAATGGTGACTGATGTACTAGGAAGCTATAAATATGGAGAGGAAAAATTAACTCACCTGAACATTGAAGAACTGCCGAGGTGTCACATCTGTATAGGTTCCAAAAACTAGAATAACAAGAAAGAGTAAGAGACACTTGCCTTTTGACTCTAGATGTTAAGAGGGTGACAAACTAGAAAATCATGCTCGGACAGAACAGCAAGATTAACATTACTTCTAGCCAGAGAGTCACTGAGAAACTTATCATCTGGGATAGAAAAATAAAAATAAATAAATAAAAACATGACAAACCAAGTGCTAATGGCTCACACCTATTATTAACATTAGCTATGATGGGCTGGGAAGGTGGCTCAGTGGTAGAGCACATGCCTTGTATGCCAGAGGCCCTGGGTTCGATTCCTCAGCACCACATAAGCAAAAACAAAAAAGCCGGAAGTGGCGCTGTGGCTCAAGTGGTAGAGTGCTAGCCTTGAGCTGAAGAGCTGAGGGACAGCGCCCAGACCCAGAGTTCAGGTCCCAAGACCGGACCCAAAAAAAAAAAAAAAAAATTAGCTGAGAATTTAGGTTCAAAGCTAACCTGGACAAACAAATCAGAGCCTTATATCTCAAGTTAAAATTGGAGGTATGGGGCTGTGAAGGTGGCTCAGTGGTAGAGTGCTTGCCTTGCATGCTTGAAGCCCTGGGTTCAATTCCTCAGCACCACATAAGCAAAAAGAAAAAAAAAAAGCTGGAAGTGGCACTGTGGCTCAAATGATACAGCGCTAGCCTTGAGCTGAAGAACTGAGGGACAGCACCCAGGCCCAGAGTTCAAGCCCCACGACCAGACCCAAACATACAAATAAATAAATAAAATTGGAGGTATGGCTCAAGTGGTAGAGTGCTAGCCATGAGTAAAAAAGCCAACAAAGCTAGGTGCCAGTGGCTTGTAGCTGTAATCCTAGCTAGTCAAGAGGTTGAGATCTGATGACTGAGGTTCAAAGCCAGCCCATGTAGGACAAGTCTGTGAGACTCTTATCTCCAAGTAATCACCAAAAACCTGGACATGGAGCTGTGGCTCAAAGGGTAGACTACTAGCTTTGAGCAAAAAAAGCTCAGGGACACTGACCAGGCCAAGTTCAAGCCACAGTAACAGCACATGCACACAATTTTTTCCCCCTGAGAAATGGACAGAACCAAACAGTTTGAGGAATTATGAGAAACAGAAGTGCTCATCACCTGGGCAGCCATGGAACACACATAAAAGGCAAGCAAACTTGGCTCACCTCGGTACTGGTAAAGGTGGGTGCCTATAATTGGGCGCCGCCACAGTTTAAAATGTTTTTTATCCATCACCATTTCCCATGGTTCCTCTTTGTCCTTTAAATCTTCATTCCCTTCTGTTTGGGATTTTGATTCTGGAGGGTGATGCTCGACTCCAGAGCTCTGAAATATGCTTGACATTTCCTCCAACCGTTTCATTTCATTAATGGATCTAGAAAGACAAAAACAGGCATGGTATAGGCAATTAGTCATTCCTATGGAATGAGGTGTCCACATAAAGACCTGCAAACAATGTTGTTTTAAGAGAGAATATATTGTGTTAAGTGAAAACTCAGTTTCCAAGTTTGAATCCTAATCCAACACACATTGAACTGAGCATTACTGAGGATTGAACTCAATGCTAGGCGTGTGCTAGGCAAGCTCTCCACCAATTAAGCCACACACAGCTCCAACACTAATTAATTAAAATAAATTACTGAGAGACAAAGGACAAAGGAGGAGCCAGTGCAACAGTGATACTCACAAAATATGTTGGAAATGATCTGTACAACTGGGGGAGGGGAGGTTGGGGGGAGGGAAAGTGGGAAAATAATTAGGGAGGGGGTAACAAGTTGGACAAAGAAAATGTACTCACTACCTTACTTACGTAACTGTAACCCTCTGTACATCACCTTGACAATAAAAAAATAAAAATAAATAACTCAACTAATCTCCATTTCCTCCTCCTCCTCCTCCTCCTCTTCTTTTTCTTCTCCTCTACCTTTTCCCCTCTCCCTCCTCTTATTCTTCCTTTTGGGCCAGGACCAAAGTTTGAACTCATGGCCTTATTCTGGCTTAGTTTGCTTGCTCATAGCTAGTGTTCCACCATTTGAACTACACCTCTAGCTCTGCTTTTTGCTCACTAATTGGAGAGTCTAAGGATTAGACTCTAATTAGAGTCTAAGGATTTTTCTGCTCAGGCTGGCTTCAAATGAAGATCCTCAGATCTCAGCCTTCTGAGTAGTCAGGATTACAGGCATGAGCCATCGAGCACCTGAAATTATTTTTAAATCTGTAAAATCTCAAATGATCATGTGCCTTTTTCCTTTTCTTCTATTAATGTAACATATTAATCTTACATATAATAAACCAATCTTACTTTCCTGGAATAAATTCAACTTCTTCATGGAATGTAATCCCTTTTATGTTAGTAGATTCAGTTTGTTGGTACTTGGATTACATAAAAGTTCTAAAACATGCAAAATAATACTATGTATCATACTTTGTATTATATCTAATGTATGTATAAAGACATAGGGATGATATAAGCAAATTGAGATAGTGGTTGCATTTAGGAAAGAAAAAAATTCATAAAGAGTACGGGGGTGGGGGGGTAAGATGGGAAGGGATGGGAAGGGGAAACAAAGGAGGAGCAACAATGCTTGATAAGAAATGTACTCATTATCTTACCCATGTAATTGTAACCCCGCTGTACAGTATTTTCACAATAAAAAAAAAATACAGTAAAACATGAAAAGAAAGAGTACAGAGGAAAATTTTATTTCTTAAATATAACTGTATTTGTAACATTCACCTTATTCTTAAAATTTTTTAATGCTGGTAGTCATGACTCAAACCTATAATCCTAGCTTATATTAGGAGGCTATGATATGAGGATCACAATTCAAAGCAAGCTAGGGCAGTAAAACCCATGAGATGTTCCTCTCTATCAAAAAAGCCTAGAGTTTCAAGTGGTAGAGCACTAGCCTTGAGCACAAAAGCTCAGGGACAGTACTTAAGCCCCAGGACCAGCACCACCAAAAAAAAAAAAAAAAAGGAACACACACACACAAACAACAAAAAAACATGGCTTGCATTTACTAACACACTGAAATGTCCTTCTTCTCTCAACTTTCAAAACCACATATAAGAGAAATAACAAAATGCTGAAATAAGGATACAGGATGACCCATTGTAACAATGAGATGTACAAGACACTATGTTGAAAACGAACTTTACAACTGGCGCGGGGAGGGGGGCGGAGGGGAAGGGATGGTAGGGAAAAACAAAGGAAGAGGCAACAATGCTTGATAGGAAATGGACTCATTACATTTTTTTAAAAAACATATATAAAAGCACTACACACTGTTGGCTCATGCCTGAAATCCTAGCTACTCAGGAGGCTGAGATCTGAGGATTGCGGCTTAAAGCCAGCCCAGACAGGAAAGGCCTTGAGACTCTCTCATCTTCAATTAACCACCAAAAAACCAGCAGTGGAGCTGTGGCTTAAAGTGGTAGATTGCTAGCCTTGAGCACAAAAGCTCAGGGGCAGCACTCAGGCCCTGAGTTCAAGCCCCATGGCTGACATACACACATACCCACACACACACACACATACATACATACATACATACATGCATACATACATACATAAATACATGCATACATACATAAAGTACGTACACACCAAAAGGTAACATTTAAGCAGTTAAATATTTGCATTTATTTTGCATGTGTGTGAATCTCTGTGCCATTCCTGGAGCTTGCATTTAGAGCCTAGACACTGTCCCTAAGCTTTTTCGCTCAAGAACAGCACTCTACCACTGGAGCCATACCTCATTTCTATCTTTTTGGTGGTTAATTGGAGATAAAGAGTCTCGTGGACTTTCCTGATCTGGCTAGCTTCAAACCAAGGTCCTCAAGATATCAGCCTCCTGAATAGCTAGGTTTACAAGTATGAACCACCAATGCCTGGCTACATTTATTTTTAATCCCACATAGAAACATATATATACACATGTACATATGTATATACATAAATGTATGTAATACATATTATATATAATATATGGGTGTAGTGGCTCAAGCACATTATCCTAGCTACTTAGAAGGTAGAGATCTGAAGATCATAGTTCAAGGCAAGCTGGGGGGGAGGGGGGAAGGAGAAGCGTAAGACTGCATAGCAACATATCTCAACCAATGTGGGGCCTGATGGTACATACTTGTCATCCCAGCAACAAGACTGAAGTCCAGGCTAATGCAGGATAAAGCTGGACCTTATCTTGAGAACAGCCAACAGAGAGTGGCTCATATGGAAAGAACATCTACTAATAAGTGCAAGGCCCTGAATTAAAACCGCAGGTGCCATCCAATACACACATATATGTGTGTATGTGTGTGTGTGAGATATACATATACTTATATATGTATACAGGTGATATACTTCTTATACCATTTGCCTTTCTTGCTAAATTATGAATTGCCTAATGACCCAGAATGACTTTCTTTTTTTGAGACAGGGTTTTCTGAATGCTGAAATTACTACAGTGGCATATAATACCCACCAGATCACCTCTTCCTTAATTGTGACTCCAGCTCCTAGTTTGTGTCTAGTAAACAGTACTCAACAAATATTTATTGAAAAAATTGAGCAAATAAAACAATTACATAAATATATTGCTGAAAAGGACAAAAATTCATTGAAGCATGGTGACCCACATCTGCAATTTCACTGTTTATGTGGTTGAGGAGAGAGGATCATAAATTTGGAACCAACCTGAGCTAAACAGTAGTAGTTCTAGGGTAGCTTGGTCTAAATAGCAAGACTCTGTCTCAACCTAAATTAGTAAATGACCAAAAAACTTCAGAGCAACCAGAAATTATGGAGAGTCTAGTCTGTTACCAACTAGCTGTGTGATTTTACATAAGGCATTTACCTTAAATGATGACAATATTTCTGGAAAATTCCTGCTACAGAATGTCAACTTACTGAATTTTACACTTTGGACTTAGATCAAAATATCTACCAAAAGAAATATTTATTATTTTGCCTGGAATCAAAATCATTTTGATTTTGTAGCTGAAATCCCTTCCTAGTAGGCAAAGGTGGATGCAGCAGACCCCTCCCAATATTGCAGTGAAGTCCAGCACCTATTTTTCAATGAAGTTAGAACTTGCAGGAAGGGTTCTGAATTTTAAATTTGAGGAAATAATACAAAGGCACATAGATTTTTTTTTTTAGGGGGGGGGGATTGGAGGTCTTGCTCAGGTTTCTTGATCATGGATGGTGTTCTACAACTTGAGTCACACTTCCAATCTGACATTTTTGCTGGATATAGATTCTCAAAGTTTTCTGCCTGGTCTGACTTTGAATCTCAATCTTCTAGGTCTCAGTATCCTGAGTAGCTAGGATTAAAGGCATAGAACACCAGCTAAAACACAGAATCTTTTGGAGATTACTGTCAATGACTTTGGAGGAATTAAGTCCAGCAGACGACTGGGGACATGGCTCAGCAGCACAGCTCTGCCTAGCAAACATAATGCCTGACACAGACACAGACACAGACACACAGACAGACAGACAGACAGACAGACAGACACACACACACACACACACACACACACACACACAAAATACTAGCTATGCTGCTGTAAGTAGATTATTCCTTGGTTGTTCTCTTGGCCAACCTGGCCTTCTTATCAATGCTCTGAATGACATCACCAACAAGAAATTAGCTGAGTTACTTTTTCTGGGTCAAGAAAATCAAGATTAGTTTTAGCCCGGCGCCGGTGGCTCACACCTGTAATCCTAGCTACTCAGAAGGCTGAGATCTGAGGATCACGGTTCAAATCGGGCTGGCTCTGAACCGCAGGAAAGTCTTGTGGGACTCTTATCTCCAATAAACCACTAGAAAACCAGAAATGGCGCTGTGGCTCAAGCAGCAGAGTGCTCGCCTGCTGAAGAGCCCAGGGACAGCGCCCAAGCCCAGAGTTCAAGCCCCATGACTGACCAAAAAAAAAAAAAAAAAAAAAATCAAGATTAGTTTTATTATTTGTAACCTAGAACCTTTACTAGTACAATTTATATTGATGTCCTGATGAAAATTGTTTCACCATTTTTTAAATTTAAATTAAAAGTTGGAAAATAAGACTAAGGCTGGCCCAACAAATATCTAAGTACAGAAATACTGAAGGAACCTTACTTGACAAGCAATTAGATCTTACAGAACAGAAAGCAAAAGCAAAAAAACCTACACATTGTCTTGGGTAGCATCAATTAATACTACTTTTGCAGGGTGCCAGTGGCTTACGCCTGTAATCCTAGCTATCAAGGATCCTCAGGATCCTCAGGAAATCTGAGGATTAGTTCAACGCCAGCCTGGGCAGGAAAATCTGTGAGACTTTTATCTCCAATTAACCACCAGAAAACCAGAAGTGGCACTACAGCTCAAA